TGTTCCAAAGTTCAATATTGTCAATAGGTTGTCCTAAGGTCAAGCCACATGTAATCTATTGAATTATGAACACAGCAGTATTATCACCTGTATTGAAGGAGCTAATTATTCGAGACCTATGAACATGATAAACACAAATGCCAAAGCTGTTCACAAATAATTATGCATAAAGTTGGGTTTCACACTTTTCATTACTTAAGACATTGACTGATGATTGTCCAAAGGATAATGGATTCAAGCTAGCTGACAAGATAAGGATGTCATCTGTTTGATGACTCAACACCCTGCTACACAAGGATGCTAGTTATAAATGATTATTATAATATTCAACTGTTACATTTGTTGATAAGGACTACAGAGGTGTACAGTCCATGTGATGTGCACAGAGATGGCCTACTTTGCATCATTAGTATGTATGAGGTGTTTGACTCTTGTGAAGGTTGAATTCTCCTATTGTAGTTTTTAGATGACATCCCAAGCATTTTAACGTTTCAGTTCACTCTGGTAAGGACCATTCCAGATTTCAAACACTGTTTATCATGCTGTTTTCATTTTCACTTATCTGTCACAAGGGCTGTAACCGTTTACTTTGTCACAAGTCATGATTTGATCTAATTTGAATCTGAGACTTGTTTTTTGCATAAAATCGAAAATAAATTGAAATAATGTTTCATTATTTATTTGTCATGGTTTTTTGATTTTGCAGGGGATTGCTTTTTGTCAATTTGATTTTACGGACGCCAAAAAGGTTTGACTTTTAACATTAGGGTTATGACTAGGACCCACATACCTTTCATACAAGTGGAATTGTAGAGCTTCTTTGAGTGGAATTATAGAAGTTGGGTAGTACAAAATACAATTTACAATGCGACATTTCAATACAGATTCTTGTACCAATGTCAAGCAGGAATGTGACATGAAGTGCAGGCGAAGTGTATATCGAAATGTCACACACACAAAATGGAGAAGTTTTTATCCATAAAGTTTATCTAAAATGGAATAGTAGAAAACAAGTAGAATGACTTGAAGAGAGAAAGTAGAATTGTAGAGAGCATGTGAAATGAGCAATTGGAGCTGATAGAATAGGAACATGTGGACATCAAAACCTCAGGTTGTCAGAAAGTCAGTCACATGCAACATCTGAAGCTCATACCCTTCAGCACACTATAAACACAAACAGCTGCTCTTGTATTCTAATAATGCACCTATTTTATTAACAGTGAGATCTGCTGTCACTTAACCACCAACTGAGAAAGTTAAGGCAATTAAAACTAGTTGGAAAGATCCAGTTGTCAACCGTGATAGTGTACAGGAATAGTTGATTGGACGACAAACACAGGTAGTCAGTTAGATATGACAAGTTACAGATCATTTAATCACATGAAGCAGTCAAGTCTAGGTTAAGAGGGTGGACTGTGAGACACATTGACAATGTTGCCGATATTTGTAAATGAGGATTTTACTGTGTTCCCTAACTTAATGGATCTATTTTCACAATGGTCTGGTCAGTATTGTTTCAGTTTGTATTGTTTGCATGTTGATTATGCAATGTGACAAGAAAGCTCAGGTGACATCCCACTTTCATAAGGCCCAGAGCAGTCCGTGCTTGTCATAAATGCAATAATGGATTAGTTTACTGAAGATCAGCAACCAATGCTTGTCGTAAGACGCGATCAGCTGATCGGCTTGTCAGTCAGTTGGTCTGGTTGACACATGTCATGGTATCCCAATTGCTTAGATCATTCCTCATGATGTTGATCATTGGATTATGTTATCCAGACTGAATTTTTTTACAGACTGCTGCCCAATAGCTGGAATGTTGCTGTTTAATGTTTTTGACCACAGTTCTGTCATGAATGTGTCCATGGATAAGTGGATATAGCATCTGCGTGGAGAGCAGAGCAGGGATGCTGTTCTTGGCCACCTTATACCAAAATACATTATAAAATGTTCATTTGTGTTTCCCTGTTAGAAGGATTTGTCAGCTTGGAATTGGTTATTTCAGTTGGCGTACAACGTCATTTGTTCAGGCAAGTTCAAGCTGACATACACACAAACATACAGACAAACATTCAGACAGACAGACACACACAGCAAATCTCCAGGACCAAGGAACGTCTTAAGTATAAAAACTGTGATAACAATAGATATTTTTTATCCCCCACAGCGTTTTTGGGGGGTATTAAAATGGACTCTGTCCTCGCACATTTGTCTTTTCCGGAGCATAACTCTAAAACCGTTCACTATTTCTTTACCAAACTTGGCACATAGATAGATCTGGTGGTGTACTGGTGCCTTTTGGTAGTTTTGGAATTCTGAATAAAATATTTTTGGCGTTTCCTTGGCAACAATTTTGACTTAGACTGAAATTAGTGGTAGTGCCCTTTCCGGAGCATAACTCTAAAACCGTTCACTATTTCTTCACCAAACTTGGCACATAGATAGATCTGGTGGTGTACTGGTGCCTTTTGGTAGTTTTGGAATTCTGAATAAAATATTTTTGGCGTTTTCCATGGCAACAAGTTTGACTTAGACTGAAATTAGTGGTAGTGCTCTTATCTGGAGCAGAACTCTAAAACCGTTCAATGTTTCTTCACCAAACTTGGCACATAGATAGATCTGGTGGTGTACTTGTGCCTTTTGGTAGTTTTGGAATTCTGAATAAAATATTTTGGTGTTTCCATGGCAACAAGTTTCACTTTGACTGAAATTGGTGATAGTGCTATTATCTGGAGCAGAACTTTAAAAACGTTTCAATACTCTATTTCCACTTTTCTATATACACACCTAAATATTTGACATAATCATAACTCGTAGACATAATCATGAAGAGTATTTTGCCATTGAGGGGGATATTGATGACTTTGTCTTCTTGTTACCTTTAAAAAGTGGTAGCCAAGGCTGCACAGTTAAAGAATCACATGTTATTAGTGCTATAAAATTTTAGCCACCCCATAATTATTTATCTCCACTAGATTATGTATCTCTGAGTTGCTCATACTCTTCAGACCACCTCCATGGTTTAGTTGTCAGAGGGTCTGCCTGGAGAGCTGAAGGTCCAGGCCACGTCATACCAAAAGACATTAAAATATGGTACTTGTTGGTCCCTGCCTGGGGCTTGGCAATAATGGGTACAACAAGGACTGGTCGGCTCAGAGTCTGTATAAACCACATTTCACCTAACCTCATACTCTTCTTTACCCTGTATAGCATCATATTCATTCAAAAGCAAAAGTTATTTGCAAAGATTTAATTTAATTTTACCAAGTTCTCAAACCATTTGCAATAACACACACCTGCTTGTTTTGATTAAAAATGTAATATGTTGATAACAGATCATATTACAATCTGTACAAACACAGAGAGTTTTTCATTTGCAAACTGAATTTGTTTCCTAACATAGTAACATAATGCTTAGTCTCTGTAAATACATGATTTGATAACATCAAGCTGCTACAAAGGTAAGGAGCCATTTAGCTTGTTGGAAATGTAGAATTGCTTTATAGATGATTTAAGCTTTACAATGTGAGCTCGTTGGAATTGAAACAATGTGGTTTAGCGACTGGGAGACAAAACTAATCTTGCTTATGTTAATCACTAATCAAAATAACCATGTTCGGGGAGTTTGGCTCATTGAAGTATTTTGTCTAGATTATTTCTCTCCTAGCTCAGTGTATCAAATATACCAGTTCATATCCTGCATGTAATATCCTATCTTTGTGTGGAATTGAGCTTCAATCACTGATAGCTCAGGCTATCCTACATTGAGTAGTGGTCAGCTGGAACTAATGGCTTCAGTTGCAAGTTTAATTTGAAAGTAATGAAACTGTTTCAATAAGCAGCTATAAATATTATTGGCAGTTTCTATATTAGATCTGTCAGCGTTGTGGTTTGATTGTGAACGATGATTATCGAGTGTAGCACTGAGGATGATCATGTGTTATGCATCTTATGGTGGAATATTCTTTCTGATCAAGGTTGGAGAGGTGATGTATGAAATAAGTAAGTGAACTGGTTTCTATGATGTTCAATACATTGACTGACCGCCTCCGTGGTATTGGGGTTAGAGCGTCCGCCCGGATTGCGGAAAGTCCCAAAAGATCCCCGACCGCGTCATACGAAAAGACGTTTAAATATGGTACTTGTTTGTCCCTGCCTGGCGCTCGTCATTAATGGGTACAACAAGGACTGGTCGGCTCGGAGTCAGTATAATGTGTCTGAGTGGGGTATTCATGCTTCACTGCCGCATTGTATCTCAGTGGGCTAGCACTATAAAACCAGCTTAAGTCTGGGCTAGTACAAGCAGCCACACATACACACGCATGCACGTTATCATATGAGCAAAACATTCATAAGTACGATGTTAAACCCCATTTCACCTATCCAGTTTAGGTATAGACACTGAATTTTACTTTTTGTGTTACACTAAGATAGATTTTCTGTGTTTTTAAAGCAACCATTACATTTTCTAAATGAGAAATAGTAAATATTACCTTCCTATTGTTAGTTTATTGTTAGTTTATCCATGCCGTCCATGTATCTTCATTTCTTCCTGGGACCGCCTCCGTGGTGTAGTGGTTAGAGCGTCCGCCCGGAGAGCAGAAGGTCGCGGGTTCGATCCCCGACCACGTCATACCAAAAGACATTAAAATATGGTACTTGTTGGTCCCTGCCTGGCGCTCGGCATTAATGAGACAACAAGGACTGGTCGGCTCGGAGTCAGTATCATGTGTCTGAGGGGGGTATTCATGCTTCACTGCGGCATGGTATCTCAGTGGGCTAGCACTATAAAACCAGCTTCAGTCTGGACTAGTACAAGCAGCCGCACATACACATACACATGCATGCACGTCGTCATATGAGCGAAATATTCTCAAGCACGACGTTAAACCCAATTTCACCTCACCTCACCTCACCTCACCTCACCTCACCTCACCTCATTTCTTCCTGTTACTATTACAGGCAACCTATTCTGGCCTCCGTTTAGTAAATCCCGAAAAATGGAGAGTCGTCCTGCCAAACGTCACCATCCAGAGACCAAGGATGAGGGGCTGAATAAGAAACAAAATCTGACATTGGAGACCATCAAAGATGAGGCAGCGTTTGTGTCCCGGTTCAGCGCTCTCTACAACAGCAGCAACCTCAGCGATCTGGTGCTACGGGTGGGCAGGGACAGATACTACTCTCACAGGTTCATCCTCATCACAGCCAGTGATGTCTTTGAGTGAGTGTCGCAGATATTTGGTGTATTCTGATATATTGTGGATCGTCAATGTCTGAAGGGCTTGTTGTTGCACTTTAGAAATTATTATTTCTGATAAATAAGTTTCAGGATAGAAAATGAATGCCAAGTGGAGCAAAGTTTTCTTCCATAGTGTTTATCAGTGGTCGTGTCAAAACACAGTGTTAAGATCAGTCATCTAGTGATCATAGTGCACCTTCTTGAAGCAAATTGGTTTCATCCTCCTTTTCGCATCTACAATAGTTGATATTACAGTTCAGAAAAGGACGTAAACCCCTTCCTATACCTGCTTCGGGGTCAACAATACTATGAAAAAGAGTGGTTACCAACAAAAATTATCGTTTAATACTCTTGCTTTCAGTATAAATAGAGTTAGAATAGGTCTACAGTTTTGCCATAAAAAGCCATGACTATCTTGTCGTGAAGAGGCTAATTAACGGATCGGTGGTCAGTTCGCTGACTTGGTTGACACATGTCATCGGTTCCCAATTGCGCAGATCGATGCTCATGCTGTTGATCACTGGATTGTCTGGTCCAGACTTCGATTATTTACAGACCGGCCGCCATATAGCTGGAATATTGCTGGAGTCGCGTGTTAAAACTGGTTCACTCACTCAGTATAAATAGGGGCGTGGGTAGTCTAGTGGTTAAAGCGTTAAGCTCTTGGCCGGTTCGATTCCCCACATGGGTACAACGTGTGAAGCCCATTTCTGGTGTCCCCCGCCGTGATATTGCTGGAATATTGCTAAAAGCGGCGTAAAACCATACTCAGACAGTCAGTATAAACAGACACCATCACAGGGGATTGTAATGCAAAAAAAACTGGCATCAAGGTACAAATTGTCACTAACAGGGTCTAAGAGCCATATACCCAAGTCTTAGCACCATATGAAAAGTTCCTTATATGATGCTTGGGCCCAGTCAGTGACGTGTACTTTGATGCCAGGTTGTTGTTTTTATTACAAACCCCAAAGATGGTGTCTGTTTACAGTGAAAGCAAGAGCCCTAAAGATTATATTTTCGGGGTAATTGCTGATTTCTCTTGTGGAGGCCATAAAATAGACTTATTTAACTCTGCTGTATATAACAAAGTGTTCCTTTCAGTTCGAACACCTGTGTAATTCAGTCATTTCTGAAGGTTGCTTTTGTGTTGCAGTTTCTGTTCAGATCCAAACATCAGATTAAATGTTTGCTTGTACTTTCAGAGCCATGTTGAACCAGAGGTGGGGTGGAATCTCAGGAGCCAGAGATAGACCTGACAGAAGACCCCGAGTGTGCTCCAGTGTTCGGGATATTCCTCAAGTAGGTTCTAGTTCTCTGTCCAGTATATGTTCACATGTTAGCAATACAGTCTAGGCATCATTAGTTCAGTCTCCTGTCCTAGTCTATGGCTCATTCCAAATTAGTGGTTTATATGTTTATTACCAAACAACTGATCTTACCAGAATATTACTGTATTAGGTAAGGCAGGATACTCACAGGCAAGAGGGTGGTTTTCCATGTTAATCTTATCTATTTCCATTCTGCATCTTTTGTGTTTTGCATGTTGTAAATCCTTGTACCATCTACTGACTGGACCAACAAAGCTGAAACTTCAAACACTTATTCCTAAAATGTTGACACCACATTTAGGGTCCGTTAATAATTTATGGCTAATGATGCTTTTTATGGAGAAGCATGTACAAAGTGAATGACAACACACCCCACACCCCACGCCTAAATTTTTTGTTCAAAGTAAGTGACATCCTCTCTTACCGTCTCTCTCCCACTGTTTCATATTTTGGAAAATGATTTTCATTTAATTTATTTTTATTCTTACTGTTCTGTTTTCATTGATCTGGGTCTTTTTCAGATATCTCTACAGTGGCTCAGTCCAGGTGTCGACGGATACAGTTCTACCCATCCTTTTACTGGCAGACAAATACAGCATCACTACCCTGCGCGAGTCCTGTATCGAATATATGATGCGACACATTGTTGAGTCTCCCGACACAAACCGAACACTAACATGGTACCAGTATGCCAAAATGACGGGACAGGAAAAACTGAAAGAGATCTGTCAGAAATTCATCCTGTCCAATTTTGATGTTATTCTTGATGCCCCCGACTGGCATGAAATGACTAAGACTGAGCTTGTTGAGTTCCTTAGCAGCTCGGATCTTGTGGTACTGAGTGAGATCCATTTGTGGAACAAAGTCGAGAAATGGCTGACCTGTGAAGAAAACCGTGATTCACTTGCAGAGAATCTTAAAGACATCTTGCCCCTTTTGAGATTTAACATGATCTTGCCTAAAAATCTATTAACAATTGAATCGTCACCTTTGTGTTCGAAGTACACAGAACATTTTGCAGAGAAGCTAAATCAAGCCTATCGTCACCATTCTCTGATGATGGATTGTGGAGATGTTTGTGAAAATCGAGAGCAGTTCAGGAACTATTACAGTAAGGAATACCACCTATGTTTTCCATTTTTGCTTGAGAATTACCCAGGCATCAGCAAGATAAACAGCCGCGTCACAGTTGAATGTCACGTCCCAACCCACTACATGCCCTCCAGTCAATCCCAAGGTTCTTGCACCGAATTCACTGCCTACTTTTTCCCTCGTGGTTTCTACAATACCATCACCTTATATGGCACTTACATGAATCGTCAGAGCGATGCCACAACGTTCAAACTGTGTCGAAAGTTTTCTGACCAAACTACTTTAAAGACTGATGTCACACTGGTGCTTTATGGCCGAAAGAATTCTGTAAGGTACATTGCCTACACCTTCAACATGAGCCATCTGTTTGGGAAGGAATCATCGACCCTCGCCATGGAAAACATCATCGACTTGGACAAACTGATGCAGGATGATTCTCCGTACCTAATTGATGGAACCCTTGATGGGAAGCTCTTCGTGAAAATACAAGATATGGGACCACACTTGTTGGACGGTGATACTAAGTGACAAGTATCTACAAAATGAAAATCACAAATTTTGGATGTTATGTACAAAAGGTTTGAAACACTGATGACATATTTGCATGGGTGTATTCTGTGTCAGGTACTTCACAGTGTTCATTCGCTCGAAGTTGATCATTCTGGAAACAATTTTACCAATTTACATATGTTTTGAAAAGTTTTACACTTTTACACAGAGAATTATATTTACACAGATTTGTTATTAATGCTGAAACTTGGTTAATATATTCAAACATGCATGTCCCCAAGAAAAAGTTTGATTAGATTGAGCACTTTCCATTTATATAAAAAAGAAGCCTGAAAACAATGTCAAAGATATTACATCATTTCTGATTTATGCTTCAAGCTAAATTATTTATTAATGTTTATGAATGTACAACAAAGTTCACGTAGACACATAAGGTTGAGGGATATCATTAATCCATGATATATACGATGTATGCATTGCAACCTGTGTAACGATGGTAACATACAGGGTTCTATTGTACCATTGCCATTGTGCCTAGGGAAGTTTAACGTAGAAACAGCAAAAGGTTTGAATAAGTAAACAGGATGGGAACTTATGGTTGGTATTTATGTTGTTTTAGAGACTTATTTCATACATTTGTCTAACTGGAAGTTTCAACATTAATATTTTTAACTCATGTGAAATAAGGGTTATTATGTTAGGGTTGGCTATCAATATAGGCAAACAGGATTGATAATCGCTTTACTAAATAGCAAGAAATATGGCAGATGTAAGTTCAAGCAAAATATCTTTAAGAATTCAACATTACACTCCACTGGTGAGAGGTGATATGTTTATGCATGGATGACAAACAAAACAGTGTCCTGAAGCAGTCCGTGATTAAAAACCTAACTTAATGCGTTGCATGAGTAAATTAAAACTATATTTCACAAAGGTTTATGTACAATATTATCGAATGCACAATTTTTATGTCGGTAATCATAAATAATTTTTCTGATAAGTGATATTATACAATTATTGACTTCTAGTGATGTTGATCCAATGATTTATCGACCTTGGACATGTGATAGTCACTGAGGCGTAACCGAGGTGAGTATCACATGTCCAAGGTTGATAAATCATTGGATCAACCGAACTGAAGTCAATAATTGTTTTATTATATGACAAAAGTACTGAATACTGACACAGTCATGAATCTTCGTGGTGTCGGGTCGTCTGCCATTTTGATACAGATGGGACATAAACCAACACAGTCACAGGGACAAAGCAATGCCTATCGCTTCCTTATCTAGCGTAACGCACGCAGTGCGGAGTTCACAGCTGGAATAGCCCAAATCTATTTTTAGCCACGGGAGGTGCTTGGATTGTTATATCAACCTCACGCGACGTGACGAGGTTGACATCGCTTAGCATCAAAGCTGTCATGTGACCAAGTGGGCCAATCAGAAGGGCGGAAATCTACCCGTCATATAATTTATCTGATTTTCGACCTTTTTAGCCAGCTCTATCCAGTATATTGAAGACCCCTACAAACTCTGGTTGTTGTCTACCGAGGCACATTGGCATTGATCCCTGTAAAGTACTAAGTAGCCTAGCAATACACATTTATGTGTAGAGTAGAATGCTACCTCATAATTATATATGCCATGTATCTTGTCGGCCATACCTGCAATAGTGCCACCCCCATGCCTTTCTCACCAAGTTCGTTCCTTCTTGAACATGTTGAAGTGTCCATTGATTTAGAGGGGTGTAAGCCACACCTTTCATCTAGTGAAAAATAGTGCCTTTGTAGTTGTAATGGTAAATGGCATCATATGGTTAAAGGATGCATTACAAACAAGCTTCACATATCAAGCAGTTCTTTGTGAGGATGTATTTGGCTGCTGAGGCAGTCATCTTTTACCTCACAGCAATCGTACCACTATGACTGTCGTAAGTCTATGTTGCAGTAAGATACTTGCAATCATATTAGCACTAACAATGGCCTAGTCGAATGTGACCCTGCATTATATATAGTGTGTGATATGGAATATTAGGTACAATATTGTCACAGTTCAGCCAAAGTGTCTACAACTCCTTTGCTGTGACTGAATAAACCTGTTCATGGCTGTCATTAGGAATGATTGCATTTAGCAGTAAACTATTCCATGAAAATCTAGTTGTAATTTGCAATGCAAATTGATTATTTGTCTTTTTCTTAAAAGAAAGATATTTTTACATATTATTCCATTTGTTAAATCTTATACACTGTTTCTTAAACCTTGCAATAAAATCTAGTATGTTCTGGGTTTTTTACATTTCACTTCACTGAAAACATGGTAAACCACCGTACCCCCCAAAAAACATTTCAAAAGTATTATTTCTTTTTTGGCCAATTTCAGAGTCTTTTTTTTGTCAGTCTCAGATACCAACTAAACCAAACATGAGGCCTTGAGACAGATAAGCCATAGGCTGAGATGGACTGTTTTGCCACGATATATCAACTAAACTCTACCTTCTCCTGGACTCCCATCTTTTGTCTTGTGAATGTTTTGTTGAAGAGTTTTAGTTTAACAAGTGTAATGTGCCTGTATAAATTGCTTATTTATCGATAAATAACTGGATATACAGTGTATACCTATTTAGACATCGTAATCATGCTTTTGAGTAGCATTTGGAGGTGATAACATAAAGGAGAGAATTTATGGGTGTTAATTTCCTTTTTAGAAGGAACACCAAATATAAGGTTCACATTTCAATCAATTTTTATGAAGGAGTATGGGTATATTCTGTAATGTTGTGTTCCTCATAATAAAAAGTTGGCATCCATACTTCCCTTCTTTAGATGAAGATTATGCCTAGGTATATAAGTATAATGGTTGTGAGCATGTGTGATCCAGTCAGTCTCTTATGGCTTTGAATCCAGCCTTATATAATGTCAGGTCAAGCTAGCTTTTTGAGATTAAAACAAAACTATTTTTGAGACTGTTATTGGAGTAGTCAGGTAGCCTTATGATTTGCTTGACTTGATTGCATATACTTGATACCCTCACATGGATGTTACTGCGATATGTTAAATACAGAGCCTTGTTAATAATATGTTTATTTTGTTACTGTGGTAACAACAATATTTTGTCAAGTGAGATTATATATACAGGGACATCATTTAAAGATCTTAGGCCAATTTCTAGTCATGGAGATTGTAGTTTAGTGCAATGAGTAAATCTGTGATGTTTGGTGTTGGGTCATTATGAAATGTCTGATGCTGTACATTACTGAATTTAGTTCATAGTATATTTGAAAATTGCATTTTGTGGATACAAGGAGTCCAAACCACATTTTATGTTTATAATTCCTTAAAAGCAATATATGTTTGAAGTCATTTATTCACAGAGTGATTATTTAGTCATAAACATTATACAAAATTAGCAGCATTCTTCGGGGAAGTGAAGCAACACAGTCCTGTCCAGTCAATTTACAGCCAATCAGGGCGGTGGGGTAGCATTTGCTCGTCACGCTGAAGACCCGGGTTTGATTGCCCACATGGGTACAATGTGTGGAGCCCATTTCTGGTGTCCCCCGCCGTGATATTGCAGGAATATTGCTAAAAGCGGCATAAAACTAACTCACTCACTCAATACAGCCAATCAGGAAACAGTAGCCCAACAGTGGCTGTAGCTTTTTTTGGTGAGGTTGATTGCAATTTATGTATTTGATATATTTACACAAATGCATCACTAACCTTTTTCGTAGGTTGAGTGGGTAGAAATAAAAAAGTAAAATTACACTTACAATAAAGTTGTTGGTGATATATACCAGATGAGCATTATCATGACAGAATCAAACCAGAGTCCTGTGATATAGTGCTCTACTTGTTTAAGCAAATATTGCATTTCCCAAACCAACTTTGTTAATAATTTATGTATATCTACAATTATGTTTCATAAAAGGTGCTTATTTAATATTTATTAGTAAGGAATCAACTGGTATGCTATGAGAATCTTCCTGAGGAGCATGAAATTTCATCATCTGCATTTAAGCTTGAATCCAAAGTTAATATATTTTTACTGGTATGATGTCCTTGACAATTGTGATGATGTTTTCAGATTTTGTTTATTTCAGCCTGTTTGGAAATGTTCTTGTTAAAACAGTTGCAACATTGTGGCTACAATATACAGTAGTTGCACACTGGCAAAGTGAACAGTACAGTGCGTTCTTTGTTTTTGACAAACAAATATTTAATATTCTTCCAGATTTTATTTATCTAAGGTACTAAATGCCTTCAGTGGTTGAATTCATGAAAGATTGTGGATCCTACTACTTTCGTCACCACCATACATCTCCATTACATTTGGGGCTGTGGGGCAGCCTAGTTGTTAAAGCGTTGGCTTGTCGCCAAAGACCTGGGTTCGATTCCCCACATGGGTACAATGTGTGAAGCCCATTACTGGGGTCCCCCGCGGTGATATTGCTGGAATACTGCTAAAATTTTAATTTTGTTAAATATTTCTTTAACTGTAGTTCACGAGTATGCCCACTAAAGCAGTATGAAATAATAGCACTTTTAAGATTACAGTTTTCTTTTCTTATTTATTATGGGAGTGGTAGAAATGATGAGGTTGCCATTAAACATGGAATACAGTTTTGTCCAAATTGTGTTATCTTATGCAGATTTCAATCGGCCTTAAACCTCCACAAGTGTCACTTTTTCTCAAATGTTATGATTATTTGTGTATACACAATGCTATTTTTGAAGTGACATTTCCTTGCATGTCCAAGATGCACTGGATGATTGTACACCTGTGTAAGTTGACATATATTTTACACTGGTTTACTGACAGCATAATGTATTGTTTTCACATTTGCTAATGTGTATCTGTAGAACGATTAAGCATTGTTTGCTTCTCATTGCATTATTTATTCAGCGTTTTATTTAATAAAACTTCTTATTTATCATTGCTCCTGATTCTTGTGTCTCTTTTGCCCTTGTGGAGTAGCCCAGTAGTCAGAATGGTTGCCTGTGCTTGGAAAGGCCTGGGTTTCATTTAAAAATAACGGAGCTATAGTTAAGCTAATGATCCAACTGGTAATCATTAGGGGTGAAATGTTATACTGCGGTATTAGTAGAACCGCTGTATTTTGCCTTCGGTTCCCTATACCATAATGCAAGGCAAAAATTCAGTATTTTCGGTTTTCATACAATCATTTCTATGTAGTCATAAAATGACAGTTTTGTCCATTCAAAATAACAAAGATTGTGGTTATTTTTCCCATGTTATCAAACAATGTAAGGTTTAGCTTGTTTTATCAATCACTAGATTGTCTCGTCCATATTGGAA